TGAACAGGATGAGGAGCAAGGTGAACCGGATGTGCTGTCGCACGAGTACAGGGAAGCTTCAGGTGTCGGAGGACCTCCACAAGATCTGGGCCCAAGCTGGCACGGCTCGTGATGGCTTGGTGAAGCTCATGGCTGACTGCGATGGGCACAAGGACATTACAATGCTCGTTGTGTTCTTGAGATCATACTCGCTCTAGAATAAATAACGATCCTATGTGATGCAGGACGACTTCCTTCGGAAAGTTGAGCAGTACAAGGACAGCTTCAACTTCAGGGAGCAAGCCACCAACGGCGGGTTCTACACGCGGGAGGACATGATCAAGAAGGTCCCGGATGGAGGCCTCGGGTTCTCCTCGAATCTTCGCAGCAGCCCCCTCTATGGATGCCGGTAGGGTCTTGTCTTATGAGTAACTGAGGAAGTATGCTGACAAAGTCATCCAATGGTGCCGAGCCAACAACCCGGATGTCAACCTGAGGCTGGGATCTCCTTCATAACCCCAAAACCCCTAAACCCTAAACCCTGAACCTCCTTGCAAACCTACATTCTCTCCTTCTGTGCAGGAAGAACAAATACGATGACGAGCTTGAAGAGTTCTGGGTGGATCACAGGACGGCTGGCAAGCAGGGCACATATGAAAAGGAGGGCCTCAGAGACTCCACCACTGCCACCGGAAACACGGACTCCTTCGAAATCGCCGGCATGGAGGGGAACCTGCACAAGGCATGGGGCCCACGGGATGCCGCAGCCGCTGTGGACTCCGGCACTAAGAATGCCACTTGTTGCATAGGGCTTGCTGTGAGACTTTGTTCGTGCATCAGCTACTAGCAAGCGATCAAGCAGCAAGCACCATCAACTCAGGCAGCCGACAGCATCGAGCAGTACATGAAGGAGTCTGTTGCAGCACGCGACAAACTCGCGAAGTTCATGGAACGGTTGGACACACATGATGCTGCAGTCAAAGTGTTTCTCGGATACCTAGAGTTTGGTATCTCCTTCTCAGCCACAGCAAACTGTTCAACATCCAAGGGAGTACCCCCGGATGAAAGAGATTGTGAATACTCTTGGTGCCCTCTATGATGAGCTCGCCTCGTTCCAAGCCGATGCAAAGATTACCCCGGCCATGTCCGATTCGCTCTTTGACTTAGAGATTAGGTCGTGCCCCGGTTGAGGGTTTAGG